ATCTTGCCATCATTGTTCTCTCCCCAAATTACGCTTCTTCCACTTGGTGCTTGGATGAACTCTCAAAGATTCTTGAATGCATGGAAGACACCAAGAGAATTCTGCCAATCTTTTATGACGTGGATCCTTCCCATGTACGAAACCAAAAGGGGAGTTTTGCGGAAGCTTTCACTAAGCATGAAGAAAGGTTTAGTGGAGATGCAGAGAAGCTGAATCGGTGGAGAGCCGCTTTAAGAAATGTTGCCAATCTCAGTGGCTTAGATTCAAAAAATTATAAGTAAGCATGCATCCATGAAAAACTTGTGTGTGTCTTAACAAGAGCCCTACTTGGATGTTACATTTCAAGTCTTCCTTCAATACAACAAACAACCTTGGATGTTATATTTATGGATTAATGGTTATTTTTAATACTCTGTAGGTCAGAAGCAGAGCTTATCGAAGACATTGTCAAACGTGTGTGGAAGAAAGTGAATCCTACATTCACGTTGCTAGATTCTGAAGAGAAGTTAGTCGGAATTGATTTTGCACTTGATCAACTACGCTTGCATTTAGCTCCCGAAGAAAAGGATGTCCGCTTTATAGGGATATGGGGGATGGGCGGGGTAGGCAAAACAACCCTTGCTAAATTAGTTTATGAGAAAATTTCCCATCATTTCGAGCATCGCTGTTTTCTATCTAATGTGAGAAAGGGAGAGGTTTCTGATCTAGGAAGACAGCTGCTTTCCTCAATCTTGAAGAAAAATTATATCCCAAGTTGGGATGAAGGGGAGGGAATCCTTAAGAACTTTTTATGGAATAAAAAGGTTCTTCTCGTGCTTGATGATGTGGATCAACTAAACCAACTAGAAAAACTGGTTGGAAATAAAAAATGGTTCGGTGTGGGGAGTAGAATTATCATCACAACTAGAAATGAACGCCTACTAGTTGAGCATGGTATAGAGAAAATGTACAAGGTCGTGGTCTTAAAGAATGATGAAGCTCTTGGGCTCTTTAGTCGACATGCCTTTAAGAAAGATCAGCCTGAGGAAGGTTTTCAGGAACTGTCTCAGCATTTCCTAAATTATGC